ACCACTCTTTCATGATGAAGTTGGTAGGGAGGGGGGGGGGGGGGATTTCAGCAGCTCCAACAATGACGGGCGCTTCAGGCGAAGGTGTTTTGTGACTTTTCAGTGGACTCAGTTTACTTTTTTCCCCTACGTGAAGTGAGGCATATCGCAACATCAGAAGTTTTGGCATTTCGAGCACAGTACTCATGCAATACAGGAAAGTGAAAATCCTAGAAATGTGGAGCTGGCGTCACATTTACTACTTTTCAGAAATGAAGTGCTGATTTGTGCGAAGTGTACTTATTTTGTGGCTTTTGTGGATGTGCTGGAAATAGTGTAAACACAGTAGCGATGTTATCAGCCCATCTTCTTATTATATACCCTGTCCCATCGAATCGGCCTGCTTCAATGTTCATTGAACAAAAGTCGTCATTCTTTTTTGGCGCTTGACCTTTTCATCTCAGAGCGGGATCTCATGTACTGCGCAATTTTATGTCTTTGGGAAACCTAAAACTTGCTTAAAATGATTCAAAGTGTCCTTATGCCACCCGTATGCAAAAAAAGAAAAATTATCTTTGTATACACAAATGCATTCGTAGTAGCAAACATATGTGAAGGAAAGCGATCGAGCGAAGCATGCCTACTTACACATGGAGTTTTTCCCTGTGTTTGCTTCCTGCAATTGTGCAGCGAAGTGCTGCGCAAGAGCCCACCATCATCTCAAAAAGTGATCACAGATGTCTTCAGCGTGGTCTTGTTCAATTAGAGGCACCACGTTGCTACAATGCATTGGCATCAGCCACGGAGCACCTACGCTACTACAGACATCTTAGTATAACCTCCTTGAGGTCTAAAGAGGTCAACCTGTCACGTGCTTTGCCATTTTGCGTCGTGAATTTGCCAGACCATGGCCTCTGCGATTAGCTGATTGCCATAGCTATTCGCAAAGGCCGAGCTAGGCAATGAAGGAATGGAGTTCTATAGGTGTACAATGAACGTCCTGGGTTATCATTCCTCACGAACAAGCAATAGCGCAATATAGTAACAGTTTTTTTTTTACTGCTAAGTAAATGTATTGGACGAGCTCTGCCTTCAGTACCCCTTTTGTTTAATTTGTGTGCTTGTTTTCTAAATTTTCATGCTGAGACTGCATAAAACAAAAACCCATTTGTTATGAATTTTTTGGAAATTTGCTAGTTTCGTTATATCCATGTTTAACTGTATTCTCTGAGGATTTGCTCAGCTTTACTTGGTTTTACTCTTTATTAGCCATTGTGTATATTGTATATGGAGTTAATGGAGCGTACCTTAGTAACCTGCGCTTCGCTGACATTGCATTGCTGAGTAACTTGAGGTTTGAATATAACTCAAGATTACTGAATTAAACAAGGAAAGCAAAAAAAGTAGCAGAAAACGAAAGTAATGTATAACAACCTTGGAAGAGAACAGCGCTTCAAGATAGGTAATAGTGCATTTGAAGGTGTAAAAAACTACGCCTACTTAGGACAGGTAATAACCGCGGAGCCGAACCACGAGATTGAAGTAACAAGAAGAATAAGAATGGGGTAGAGCACATTTGGCAAGCACTCTCAAGTCATGACTGGTAGATTGCCACTATCCCGCAAGAGGAAGGTATATAACAGCTGCATCTTGCCGGTACTTACCTACGGAGCAGAAACCTGGAGGCTTACAAAGAGGGTTCAGCTTAAATTGAGGACAATGCAGCGAGCAATAGAGAGGAAAAATGATATGTGTAACCTTAAAGGGCCACTCACCAGGCCCCATACTGAACTTTAGTTAGGCAGTGGAAGTTGCTGGGTGTCCGATGAGGAACATTTTGCCACAAAAATTTTTCGAATCGGTTCATCACGAGCGGAGAAAGCAAGTTTTTTGAAGCGGCGCAAAACGAGCATGAGAGGAGGCGAGCTCGAAACCCTTTCTGCTCCTCTGCGTAGCCTTCGCAAGCCAAATCTCTTCCTCACCCTCTCCAGCATCTGACCATGAGATGACGTGCGTGTGACGTGCCCAAACAAGTCCAACCCCTGAACACGCGAGCAGCATTGCTTTGTTGACCAGCGTTATTTTGTGGTCTTCTGCCTGTTTCTGCGGGGTGGTTTGGAAATGCTGGCTTAGACGCGATTGAGTAGATGATCACAATGAGTGCGCGAACGCGTAGGAGTGTTCCATGGCGGTCGTCTGCTCAATGCGCTGACCGCGGGGACACGAACGCATGCGAAACGCTGGCACATTAGCCCCGCATCTCGTCACATTTCACGGGAAAAAATGAAAGAAAAACGCGCACAATTTTTATTGCGTCTCATTATTTTTTTTTAAAGTTTTATTAATCTCTTAAAGCAACAAATAGATGAACTACGCATGTTGTGTTGATCATGTCACGTGGTATACTGTTGACAACGTCAGAGCAGGGTCGTCTACGTAGAGTACCAATGTCACTGCATTGCCGTGTATGTAAGGCCATTCATACGCCCACGTCATACCCTCATTCTCTAGGTGTGCTCCGGCAGAGGGGAGGGGGAGCAGCATTCATCTTAAAATTTGACCCATTTTTGCGGCGCGTAGCGTTGAAAATTTTGGCAGACGTGATCATGAACGCCTCGTCTACGCATTGCGCTTGTAAGCTCAAAATTGTCAAACCTGGTGAGTGGCCCTTTAAGAGACAAGAAAAGAGCAGAGTGGATCAGGAAAAAAACCGGGGTTAAGGATATCATTGTTAAAATCAAGAAGAAATGGACATGGGCCGGACATGTAGCGCGTAGGTGAGATAACCATTAGCCTTTGGCCAACTTCGGCTATTTTTCGACGTCAATGTATCTCAATGAAATTCGCTGGGTACATTTCTTTGCACATTACCGACATTTATGCCAAATTATAGGCTTTAGAGATGCTTTGATTGTTTGAAAATGAACTTTAAAGATTGCCTCGAAACGGCTCATCTGGTTTGCCAGAATTATTGGCAACACTGTCTGTGTGTTGTCCCGTTTGGCATGTCAACGGAAGTGACACAGTTCGTGGCATTGCTAACTTTGGCCGCTGCAGGCAACGGTGGCAGTGTTAGATGGTGTTTTTTTTCTTTGGTGGTGTTTGGTCAGCGTTTAGCTGTATGGTGTGCAATTTTCAAGATAGCGGTAGTTGGTGTTGCTTTGTGGGCTGCTGAAACTACTCACACAAGATGCAGAGTGTTTGCTATCATGTATTTCCACGTCACAGTGCCTTCCATGAGAAGTGAATCAGTGTGATTGGGCAGAACAACTAGTTACCGAACAAAACAGTATGTGTGTGTTCTGATCATTTCTCGCCGGTGTCATATCAGGACAGCGTTTTGCCGGTGTCTATCCGTTTGTACGTGTGTCCATTCGTGCTTTTGTCTGTCCATCCATTTGTCTGTCTGTCTGTCCGTCCGTCCGTCCATCTAGTGAACACTCCAGTACCTCCATCTCACATCTTTTCATCATATATTCATCATATATAAGTACCGCCATCCAACGAACTACTACTACATACAATGCGGACGTACGACCCACGGCATAAGGAGCTTCACCCTTAAAACGGCGAGGTAAAAGCATCATTTGCATCAGAGTCGCCGCTATCTGACAGCTCTGGTACACTGTCGGTCTCAGACATAGTTGACGCTCGGCGCGTTTACTTCTGCTTCAAGCTAAACGCTGAGCGTCTGCTCGGCCCAGCATTCACAGTTTTAATACACTGAGCCAGCAGGACCAGCATGCCTTGTACAACATTCGGTTCTAGGTTTCTACCAAATCTTATGTCATACGTAGACTGTGCACTCGGGTGGGTTTCGGTAATGCGCCTTTTCTCTTATTAAAAATTATTCTCAACCTTGCTGAGCATTTCGTCTACAAGAGTGTCTTAGGAACACAGAACCACCATTACCCTGATGTGGTCAAAAATCGCTGGAGTTGGCCTTTAAGGATAGCTGAAATAGATTCTGCATGTTGCGTTGATCCTTTGAGACTCTCACCTCAGTGAAAAACTCTACCCTCATGTGTTCGGCCACTCCTAGCCACTATGAGACCGCAACGCTGATGTTGGCACTTGCGATTGAGACCCCCCTCCCATCCCCATTTGTTTTTCGCAATGTTTTTGTTTGTTTTTTCTTCATTTTTTAATCCCCCTCCCCCCCCCCACCTCTGTTGCGGAAATCTCCCGGATTCAGCATCCTTGAACTTGGCAGGTATGTTATTGTATAAAGCAGCGCTCGTAGTCATTTGTGTTGGCCTGTGCCAGTGGTGCTACTTCCACGAAGGCAACTAAGACTGACACAGAGGCATGGGTGCCAAAATAACAAATGTTGCGCTGCTAATCTGCCAATTGCCATTGCCATCATTTTCATAATACGCTTCACTTTCTCGTGTAGCAGCACTCTGCCAAAGTGACACTCCTGAGCTTAAGTACGCTCGTTCATAGTGCACTTAAGTTGCCCTATGTAACAGGGGTATTACGGAGTCTATAAAGAGTTTAAGTGTGACATCTGGCTCCGCACCAAAATTGGCTTCACAACCATTTTTGGTATGATGAGCTGTTTAGTGGCATAGACAATCATAAGGAAATAAAATCTAATAGAATTGCATCCTTGTGGTGCTTGATTGAGAAAGATGATGTGCTGGCATCATAGTCTGATGTGGGAAAAAAATGGGCGACTTTAATAATACGTGCAAATTTTGAACAGCTTTCATGTTCAGATTGGTAACCAAGGTACACGGGTCGGCTAAATATTTTCATGAGGCTTTGTCACAATCGCTGAGGTACACGGGTCGGCTAAATATTTTCATGAGGCTTTGTCACAATCGCTGAAAGAGAGCTGCTGTATGCTGGGCTACCATACATGAGTGCATAAGTGCGTTTTTACATCTTCATGAATGGCGTCTTCAATTTCAGGAATATTGCTCATACATTTTGAGGCCTTCAAACTGATTGTATATTGTTTTAGAGTTGCAATGGTTGTGATGTCTTCCCTGACTGGCTTCATTCTCCTTTTGCAGTACTCTCTCCCCATGCCTAAAGGAGGGAAACATTCAACAGATCCCATTTTGTGTGAAGACCAACCAGTCCCGCAGAACCGGTTATCGAAAATGGCCATGAGCCGTGTCGATGTACTAGATGCAGACTATCTTTCTAGAAACTCACCATTCAAAATTAACGATGTGTATTCACGTTCTGCCCACCTCAACATGCGAGCTAATTCTCAAGGATCTCGAAATCCCAACCAAGTGAAACGCAACACAGGAAATCATAAGAAACGAAGAAATTGAACACACTCATAAGAGCAGCACAGGTGAAATCATTTAAGCATATGTCTAGCAAAACATCTTGGCTATCCTATTTGTACCAAAAGAAATATGACTGATGATTACACAAGCTATTTGTTGCAATATGCATGCCAATGCAGAACGACTAGCATTCTGGTTTTGGAATCCAAAGTAAAATGTGTGCTAATGTGATAATTAAGCCAAACAGGACACAGTGTATTCTGTTAGAACTACAGTTAAAGTATTTAGGCTAAATCAGGGCTGGGAAATTTTTCTTTCTATGGTTATGTGTACAAGCTCTTCACAAATAAATGTGGGATTGCTGAAAATTTGCAATTGACAAGAACCCATTAAAGTATGTGAAAGCTGTGGCGAGTTTTCTTGTTATGTTGTGCCGAGGAATCGTTTTTTTTTATGTTCAACATTATGCAGTCTCTAAGAAGTGGTAACTATATGCAAGGAATAGTGTAGCATATAGCTGCATGCTAAGTTCATCACTAGTTTTTATTATGTATGTGGGACCATATGCTACTCTGCAAATGCCATGCACCTGGGTTCTGTGGTGATGTGTAGCTTTTCTTAAACACAAAGCTCCACATGCCTTGGAGTGTTTTTTGAAATTGTGAAACACGAGCTTTTACGAATTTATTATTGTGTGACTGCATCAAAAGCATAAATGTTTCACTAATTGACCATCCTTGCCTTCATCTGGGAGGTATGCATTGTACTGGGAACCTTCTCGCATTTTTAAAGCAGCGTACTCGTCTTCTGAGGACCAATGGTCACAGGTAGCATGCTAAGTGGTCGGTTTTCTCTTTCAATAGTGTTCTTCACTGCCTTACACAGCTCTATTGTGGTAATGCTTAAAAGCAAGTACGTCTGTATGGTATCTGTCATGACTTATGATAGCCATCGCCAGTGGCGTACCAACTCTTTCGCGAGTGAGGGAGCAAACCTACCTCACCTGTCGTACGGGATATATATATATATAAAGAACTTTATCAATGCGCTCACCCTTTGATATAAATTTGTCAATATAAATTTGCATACACAGAGGTGACACGACGCACATTAAGTACCACGAAGTTCAGTCACACTAACAGGCTGAGGAATGGCGCTCTTAGCCCAATTTTCGTGTCCAATAGGTGATGCTCATCTTGCTATCACGTCTCTTTCTCAAATTAAGCTTAAGCAGTTAACATTTACAGATACCACAAAAGTTTAATCAATTTATCATGAATATTAGCCGTCAACATGGAGATGTACCAAGCGTCAACGAAGATGCATCCCCGCTGAACGGGGATATAGCTGTCAAACACCAAAACATACATAAGGCAAACCCTCGATCCTTTATCGATATTTTATAAACATTTAATTACCACTTTAAAGCCCTGTTTTACTTTCGTGTTATATGCCGATTCCCATGATGGAGGGACCAACCATGATTTTTCAAGGAATGATTTCTGTTATATTTTTTCATTAATATTACACTTTCTTGCATATGATCAGGCATGTGTGTAATACAATTTGCTTTATTTGCTAATAGTCTAATTACTGTTACTGAAGCATGCAATTATTAATAATATTGCTATTGTTATATAACTGTTATTAACTTATCAATGTCTCAACCCTTTTTTAAAAAATGTATCATTTGTGGTGTCAGGGGCGTAGTACATTGTTTACATTCATTGTATTTGTATCAAAATTTCTTAACGGGCCCCCAGGCGCCTGCATAAATACACCAACACAAACGGTCTAAATAAAATTGTTCTTTAGGCCCGTGTGCTCAGGCTTGGTGCACGCTAAAGAAGCCCAGGTGGTCGAAATTTCAGGAGCCCTCCACTACGGCGTCTCTCATAATCATATGGTAGTTTTGGGACGTTGAACCCCACATATCAATCAAAAATTTTCCTTTGAAAGAGCAAAGTGTGGGCAATTATAACGTTAAACTATTCCTCGTTGCTTCCTTTCGAAATGATCACGCTGTATATTGAATTCAATCGAGTTTATTGTGCAACAAGGTTGCGCGGAAACCAGGTGAAAAAGCTGCACTGAGCAGCTTGAGGGGAACCTTGAGGGAATATTGGTGTAAACAGCCTTTGTCATGCACACTGCACCAGCTTGTTACAGGAGGCAACATGTGACGCAAAAATGACCCATTGCGTAATGACCACGTATGCACGACCACGTAAAAAATAAGAGAATAAACCATTTTTGATACGGCATACTGTTTTCCATTAGTTCTTTTGCTTTTAGAGTTTTCTGTGTAGCACAAAATCGCCTGCTTGTTATGACGTCACGAAGCCGGAGAGAGTCTCCTTCAAACTGTAATTCAGTAGGCTAGCTGCCAATCTCATAAGCAGCGGCTACATATAGCAGCTGGTGAGATAGATTATGAGTTTATTAAAATATTTCCACATGCAACATAATGGTGTTTAGTAGTTTTTTACGTGTATATATCTCTGCGAGCTCATACTTGCTGAGAGAAAGAGAAATAGAGAGAAATAAGCAGCGCTGCACATGTGTGCTTTTTTGCTGTCCGAGATGTATTTTGAGCTATAAAAGACAAATCAAGTTGAGTTAAAACCAATTAGCCTGATTCCTAAATAAGCCTCCATAGTGCTAAAAAATGCCAGGCCTGCACGGAAGGAGCAGCACATTCACAGCGACAGCTAGAAGAGCGGCCTTTCAAAGCTTTTTCTAAACACTCTCTGGGTAACTGCTGCAAGCACACTTGCTTGATACCCACTACGGCATTAATGATAATTTTTGGGTAGTAGGCTGGCATTCGTTATGCTATTTATGCCTGAAGTGGGTATGCGCCACAATAATAGGTGAACAAGAACAAGCTTTTGTAAAAGGTTGCAGCGTTTTACTACCCACTCGTTACGCTATTCGCATTGTGCGACAACTGGTTGTTCTTTCGCTGTTTTAAAACATTTTATGAGTCGTATTAACGCGATTGCTTTCCCGACATCAAGCATACCTAAGGCAAGATTGCCAAAACGTCCCAAGCACCGGCGTGGCTCAGTGGTAGCATATTGGCTGCCACCCAGACGACTTAGGTTCGAGCCCCACTGTATCATTGGTACTAATTTTTTTTACTTATTTCGTGCGATGTGGTTACCGACACCGGTGGGGGCGGTAGTGGCGGCAGATAACCACGGCACCGTGCGTGACCCGAGTTTTGATCTCATTAACAGCTTTCGCTGTAAAACCACAGCATTTATTCTTCTCCTTGGTCCGGTGGGTCAAGTTAAGGGGCGAGCTTAAAAGCTGAGCTTCTCACTTCGCTAGAGTTCCCTGCTTTATTCGTGGCCACTTTGCAAGCTGCCGCTATAGCTCCAAGTTACCATAAGCAAGGTTGATCAGGTTCATCATAGACTAAAGCGGAAAAAATGTTTAGCCTTTTAGTACAGAAAGCTTAAACATCAAAAACAATTCGTCACACTCATCGGCTCGCAACTGTTTCGACAGAGCAGCGGTGATGGTACATCCTTTTCGAAAAAAAATGTTTTGACCTGTCCATAAATAGTTTGCTCGTTCCCATCGGTAACTGAATCAACGAGTGACAGCAGAATAAGAGCATGAAGAAGTGATGTAATAATATAGAGCCCCTGTTCAGCGCTTGCCTGCTCTGCAATACTACAGGACGAGACGCGAAAGTGTCACACAGGTGACCCGCACCGCAAAGAGCCTGCAAGGAGAATCATCACAGCAGAAACGTTGGTGAAATATCGCTGTGTTGTAGCATTGCCTCGTATTTTTTTCATTCTCCCGTAGAACAAAACTGAGTGATTACTGTTGCGACGGAAAACTTCGCCTTACTTGTTAGTTTCCCCAGCGTGGAGCTAAGAGGGACCATGGTGCACTGTTGAAAGGGGGGGGCTCAGCCCCTTTTATCTTTTCTCAGTGAGGGGGCTAATGTCCCCCTTGCCCCCCCCTCCCCCGGCTGATACGCCTATGGCCATCGCTATTTTTTTAGATATGCACCTTTCTACTAACTTAGTCAACGTTCCTTACTCATGGTTTGTACTGTCGTTCAATTTCAACACCCTGTTCGGCAGCATCTGTCAAATTGGTACTGTCTTGTCAAAATGGACATTTTAAATGGTACAAGTATTCATGCTCTAGTTAGAAGAATGCCTGCATTGGTGTAGTGCAGCATTGAACGTGTCAGATGTGTAGGCAAGTGGCGACTATATACACATAGTGCATCGCTGTACTTTAGTTTGGAATTTTCACTGTTCACTGCCCTAGGCAGCTTACCTTAGCAGCCTCTACTAAGAGCTGCAATTAAGCACTGCAGTTCTTTGTCTTTGTAATTTTTTTCTTTCATTTCTGTCTCTCTCTACTAATTTCCTCGCCCATCAGCCACAACCCACATCGGACGAATTGTTGTACGTGTTTCGGGAGTGAAGGAAGAAATAGTGCGTGATGGTCTATTATGAATCAGTGTCAAAAGATTTTTTTATGTGCTGAACATTTTAGGGCCCCGGTTTTCATTTCATCTCCTGTATGATCTGTCGTCACGTGAGCGAAACCATGTAGAGTCATGTATAGCACAAGGGTTCATACGGTTTCCATGAAACACTTGGAAACATTTTGAATTTGTAGAGTTCGTTATCGAGGCCTTGAAAGTGCTGGAATTTTGGGAAATCTTTGAAAAGCCTTGAATGTGCTTTTTTTTCCAGTAAACATTGGTGCACATTTTTTTAAAGCCCATTATTTGTGATGCCCTAAATGTAGCAGGGAGTATATTTATTGTGCCCATCATAAAAGAGTTGACAACAGTATAGCTTTTGCTGGGAAGCATCATCGTGTATTTTTAATAATAACAATATCTGGGGTTTTACTCCCCGAAACTAAGATAACATTATGGGAGATGCCATAGTGGAAGGCTGCAGAAATTTTGACCATCTGATGTGCACTGGCAGCACACGACACGGGCATCTACTATTTCACCTCCATCGAAATGCTACCGCTGCTGACGAGCCTTCCTTTCCTCACATCCATCCGGGTAACTTGGATCTGGGGAAGCTTTCGGCCCGCTTGCTCCGTAAAGATCTTGTGTTCATCCCCAGGAACGCCTGTTGCTTTATTCACATTTTCATAAACTCCTCCCTGGGCGCCGCCATAGCCTTCCTCTGGCTGTGCAAATTGGCGCGTCCCCTCGAAAATGCACTGACAACGCTGCGTCCTTAGCCTTTGTACTCCCGCGCACAGCCCATCATGGCGGTGTTTTGTTTTTTTCCTTCCTGTGAAAATATGTATAGGCACAGCACACTGACCAGATGAAGCTGCGTTGCTCACACTGCCCCGTCTCAATGTCTTTGACATTCGCCGTTAGAGGCACGCAGAAAATAGACGCGTGCGCGCGTCCCTCATGTATCCCAGTCACAATCCGCCGACAGATACAGGGCGCGAAACACACGCGTTGAGTTCCATTCTCATTGAAGCCGACTCAAGGTTGCTTTTTTTATCCGCTAGGCTATGTATTCTGGCGCTGCAGTCAGACTGGAGAACTCGACTGAACGGTACCTATGGAGCGTGTGTTGTCCGCGAAGTTTGTGTGCACGGGAATGGTGTCCTGCCGGCGAGGTGTCTACTATTGTGTACTCCTGGCACGAAAGCTTCCCCAGATCCAAGTTACCCGGATGGATTCCGTGAGAAAAGAAAGGTTCGTCCGCCGCTGCCGGGATCAAACCTGCGACTGTCAGGTCTGCTGCTACTGCTCCTGAGTACAATGATAGCCAAGCATCATGAGCACCTCCACAGTGGCAGATAACACTGCATTTTTGGGAACTCTGAAATGGCAGGAGCAAGAGGATGAGAAACAGAAAAAGAAATGTTGCATTGAAGGAGTCGAAATGCTTACAAAATATTGGCGCCGTATCTGCATGTTACACTGCAAATGTCGTCGAAAGACGATAGTCTTGCGTCTGGAGAGAGTAAACAAAACGTTTATTTGATGTTCCCCGCAAGAAAATCGGTGAATGGTATTCGGGAGGCTCTGCTTTAGAGTGCCTCGAGCGTGCAGCGGAGGCGAACGAGCGCATCAAGTCACGCCACACGTGAGATATGAGCGCTATCTGGCAGTTCTCTTGGAAAACGAAGCGCGCGGCGTGCGCGTCCGTCTCGGGGGTGATAAACTAAAGTGTAGAACGCAAGGCTCGGCTAGGTGCCACCACCGTTTCATCTTAGGAAAGCGTTGTTGGAAATACTTGCCTTTTCGTGCTAGCGTTGCATGGTCAGCGCAGCGCGATAAACGCTATGATCCTTGGAATTACTTGTATGCCTTTTCTCGTAAAAGATACACATACAGAATGTTAACGTGTTGTTATGGTGCCTCAGATATGCGCAATAATTGCTTTTTGATTGACATTCCCACAAGTATGAACGCTGAGGCTTGAGCAATATTGGTGGGCGCTGCGGATGGGGTCGGCCGTTTGAGGTATCGTCTGGTCATTCTGATGACTTTTAGGGTACCGTTAAAAGCGGACAAACAGACCAAAATTTTTGCGTCGAAGGTCCCCAAGAAAGACTATCGTCCTTAAAAAAGAAGGTAGAAGTCTCTGTTTAGGAATTCACGGCTACAGCAGACTCATGCAAAAAAATATAGAGGCAAGTAGCAACCTGATGTTCAACATCTCGTCAAACAAAACCGCAGTAGATGCACATTGATATGAAAATTCAGGAGAAGCAACAAGGTGAGACATAATAATTGTTCTTTAGCTTTTCCTTACAATAATGAAAGTTTAAATCTTGTGTTATAATGAAAGCGTTTATCTATGCAACTAAACTATGGTTGAAAGTTGTGTAGAACGAGATCGGAGCCATGTTTTCGATTCTGCTCGAGCGCTGTTACCCTTATTATGTGTTAATTGGGTTTCTAACAGACAAAGTGGTCCTTGAATATTCACAAACAGCCTTTAAAGTCCTTAAAAACACTTCAATTTTCATCGTGTAACGAGCATAAGAAAGAAAGTGACGGCGAGAAGGAAGAGGGAGGGTGAGGCATAGCATAGCCATGCATGTAGAGCACAACCATAGATACACAGTATGCTGTTGCGAAAACAAAATGCACAGGATCGGTTTGATTGGCGGTACATAGAAAAACTTTTTGCCCTGTTGTGGGTGTAGTTAGGTTGATGATAGCAAGCAGCCGGGAAAAAAGCAACGAAAAGGAGGAGGGGAGGGTAGAACATAGCATACACACGG